AGGCATATGTCACATCACTTGACAGTCCAGTGGAGGAAGGCCTGCTTGAGGCATGGGTCAAGATGTATCCGCGAACCTCGATCGACAACGCGAAAGCCGTTCGCCAGAACGCCCATCTCCTCCACGGCCATTTTGCCGTATCTGCCGGCAAGCGCATAGCGAAATACATGCCCAAAAGCGTCTCAGCATGGCTCTGCGGTCTCTACGACAGCGATCGATCAGTCGTCGAAGCAACACAAACCTCCCTACGACAAGTCTTCAACACTGCCGAGAAACTACAAAGCATTCGGAAGATCTACCAACAGCCCATACTAGAGTACTGCCGCGATGCCATCGATAAGGAGAGCCCTACAACCCTCAGCGATGAGAGGACAGTAACCAAAGACGATGCCGAAGCAAAGTACAGCCGTGTCATCTCGGCGTGCGTATCTTTGCTGGGTAGCTTGGTAGCCAATCTACAGCCTGAGGAGCTCTCCAAGTACCAGACAGACTACGATAGTCTCTTCGGCGACAAGAAGTTATGGGACTTTTCTTCTTACAGAGATGCGGGAATTCGGCGCTCAGTACATCGACTACTGAAAACTTGTCTGGCAAAAGAAGATGGTTCGTGTTGTTTATATGCAAACAACATTTGACAGACACGCTAACAAATTCACAGCTGCTATTGAGCAGAATCTAGCCATTGTCAGCAAAGCGTACCTGGCCGAAGCATTGAACTCAGACCAGACTGGTTCTGTCAGCGATTATCTTGAGACTTTGACCCTTCTTACCACCAAGCATCCCACAGTGTGGACGACAGATTACAAAAGCAAAACAGGTATTGACAGACGCCTACGGCAGTTCTTGAAGAAAGGGTCTCAGTTCGGACCGCGCGACTTTTGGTCTCGATTGGCTGAGCTGTTCAAAGTTATTCCCAAAGAGGTTCTGCCACAACACGATACTGACGCTGTAGAATTATTAAATTCCCTCCACGGTGGTATTGTACGCAAGGACGAGCCTAAATACACCCATGAAGCCGCATTCGATGCTTATCTAGAGATAGCTAGCCTTTTGAGTCAGCGATTGGAAGAATCTGAGCGGACAAAGCTACTAAAAGAGATGGTGCTACCTATAATCATGCAGTACTTGCATCCAACATTGGAGACCTCACACTGGGCTATACCATCAAACGCGACAGGGTTGTTATCAAAAGCGCTCGGAATCGAAGGAATGGCTACGGTCCTCAGCAAGCGATGGACTGAGTTTTCACAGCGACTCATTGACAGTATCAAAACCTCGGCTCCAGAACAATCAAAAGACTATGAAAAGTCGCAAACAAGTGTTGGCCAACAAGCGACCCGGTTCTCGACCCTGCAAGATCAAGCGCTCAAGATACAAAGTTTAGCGGCACTACAGCCAACTATCGTACAGGCATGTACATCAATTGTAGCGGAAGCCCTCGAAGTTCTCAGAAATAGGAATGGGAAGCCATATGGCGCAGCGGCTGCTATTGCAGCAGTGTTGAAGCGCAACCCCACGTTGATTTCCTCATCTCAGACAGAACAAGACCTTGAGCAGTTCATACAGCAAGACCTACCAGCGCTTGTTCTGTCACCCTCGTCTTCCTATCTAATTGACCTTTTGTATTCGAAATCGGATAGCAAAATCTTCAAGGATGCATGGAGTGCATGCCTAAGAGCCATTCTCAAGGAGACAGACCCAACAGTCCGGAACAAAGCCCTTGAGGGAATTCTTACCTCATCCAGGATACCGTCAGACTTTGATCTCGCAACTTCAGATCCTGAATTGCAAGAACATATCGTCGCCAACGTCCATGAAGCTATAGAAGGCTTAGGGGAGTGGGAATCATTCAACCGCATGCTTCAATCGCCAGCGAAGATACTATCTCCTCAGACAACAGATGGTGTTCTTGCTTACATGACAGAAACACTCTCAATATCGCAGCAAGCCCCTTACTCTTTACAGGGTTTACGTCAGATTGTAAAGTCTAAGCCCTCGATACTTCGTGCATTTCTCGCTCAGCCACAAGGTTCTAGTCTTCTTCAAGCGTTACTTCTCGCATCCGAATCACCAAACGACGAAGTAGCGCAGGACGCCAAGGCTGTCAATGCATCGATCCAGACCATACTCTCATCAGGCTCTGATTCTAAGCAATCGATGTATGACCTCATTCAGCAAGGACTGCGCGATGCTACATCGACCTCTGTCTCGGTTGAGACCTTGGTGGATTTGGCAAAGCAATCTGTCAAAGCAGGCGGCGACTGGGATCAGATCTCGAAAGTTTTCCCTAATATCGATGACTGGAACTCGGCACTCGAACCATTTCTCAGTGCTGCACCCAAGACCTCGCTAGCCATCACAAACCCTCTTGGAGGCGCTGTCTACCTAGTAAAATCAGATCAATCGCCATCTAGGATTATCAACATGACACGAGATGTTGACGGATATTCGGTTGCATACAGAATAAGTCAATATGTGACCCGATTATTCAAGAATCCGGATCTCTTCTCGATCAGCATAGTTCCATCTGAGCTAAAGACTGCCTATCTTCACAACATCGCCCTCACCGTGCAGCTTGCCGATGACAATCTTGGACTTGCAGAGGCAAATGGTTTCTGGGCACACTATGATCTGGATGTCGAGTCTGATGCGATGATTTTCATTTCAGATGCGCAGTCGTTCGTAACGCAGGAACTACGGACGCTGGCCACTACCTGGTCAGACAGCAGCGCTGAATCGCTCGTGACATGGACTAGTAGCATCTTGTCAAATGTCGGTGCTGACACAAATGCTCCCACGTACTACCATGCGCGGACACATAGCGTTCTGATTGCAGAAGCAATTGAGATTGCTGGATGGAAAAACTCTCAGACTGCTCCAATACAGGAACTACTCAAGACGACGAGAAAGTCCAAAAACCTATTTCAGCTATTGGGACTACTGAATGGGTTCAAGGAGCCGTTATCAGCTTCTAAGTCTTGCCAAAGGATGTCAAACGAAATCCTGGCCGATCTTACAGGTTTGGACATTGAGGATAAATCGTCAGAAGCACTGCAGAATCTCGTACAGCTGAACAGTATAATAAGCCAGGACAATTTTGTGGAAGAGAGCGCCAAACATCGCGTCCTCCTTTTCGTCAATCACGTAGTCTCGTGGCTTCAAGAAGACCAAGTCACACGAGCTGTCAAAGCGGAATTGTGTCGTTCACTATTAGTACTGCTTCCAGTGATAAGCGACCGGTATGGCGATCACTGGGGAAATATTCTCAGTGCACTATCTGCGATCTGGTCGGCAACAACCGAGTTGGAAACAAATGAACCTGGCATGGATAGTCCGATCCCCCTGGTACATGCATCACTCAAACTATACGCCCAACTTCGTACCTTGGTTAATGTGGAAGAGCCAAATGACGATCTCCTAGATGCCTGGAAAGAGGCAGAACAGCCTGTTGCTGATGGACTGATCAATATCCTGAAGCACTCTCAACATTTTCCTGACGAGTTTCATCAACCTCTAAAGATGGTGAACGATGTCCTAGCACGTCAGATATCCAAGTTGTCGCTCAAGAATCTCGAATCAACTGAAGAGCTATTCCCCCTGTTGTATGTGCAGTCGCAGCCCGTTCAGCAGACTGCATTCGACATTCTGCACAAGCAAATCCCTGCAGCTCAAGAGCAGATTTCCATCGACACAGCACTGGAGAAGTCTACTGCGCGTCTACCAGAAGAGCTGCTATCCTTGGTTATTGATGCCCCTACAGTAGTGTCATTGGCCGATACAAACTTTGAAAGAAGCGTGCCGTTATCGTTACGTGGCTACCTGCTTAGCTGGAGGTTGGTCTTTGATCATCTGGAACATGCTTCTTTCAAGGTCAAGAACGACTACGTCGAGCACATTCGTGAAGGCGATTACCTGCCTGGCTTACTTGACTTCACGTTTGAATTCCTTGGACACGCAAACAACAGACCAGTCGACGTTTCGAAGCTAGACATCACAACATATGAAGCGGATGTCGAGCCCCCCAAAAGGGATCTTCAATGGCTTTTGACACACCTGTACTTCTTGTGCCTACGCGACGTTCCCTCGCTCACAAAATCTTGGTTCAAGAACTGCAAGTCGCGTGCGATTGTAGTCTCACTGGAGCCCTGGACGGAGAGATACGTCTCCCAGCCTGTCATTGTCGCCTCCCTCGATGCAGTGGCGAAATGGTCTGAAGAACAAGCTGCAGCTGAGCCTGACTCCCCCTTCACTGTCAAAGTCGTCTCTCGTGCTCGTGAGATTACTGCGTCTTACATCGTCGATGAGCAGACAATGGCGATGCGCATATCCCTGCCTGCTGCTTTCCCTCTGGCAAACGCTCACATTGAAGGCCTCAACCGTGTCGCTGTAAACGAAACAAAATGGCAATCCTGGCTACGGACTTCCTTGGGTGCTATTACAATCTTCAATGGTTCTCTCATTGATGCGCTGACCACCTTCAAGAGAAACGTGGACGGAGCACTCAAGGGACAGAGCGAGTGTGCAATTTGTTACAGCATTGTTGGTTCAGACAGGAAGCTGCCAGACAAGAAGTGCGCGACCTGCAAGAACCTGTTCCACGGTGTTTGTTTGTTCAAATGGTTCAAGAGCAGCGACGGACCTAGCTGCCCACTTTGCAGGACTAATTTCCAATATGCGTAGGCTGAGTGCACAAGGGCGGGGCTCGTACCATCATATGTAGACGAAAAGCTGTACATAAGAATTTAGAAGGCAGATGAAAATTGACCTAGAACATACCTAGAAGGTGGGCAAGGCGGTGGCGGTATTGTTGTAAAACGAACCTCGGCTGTACCTGAATGTTGTACTTACTCCTCACGCCCTAACGCCATTTACCGACACTAAATCACGATATGTATATCATTTACTACGTACCCATGCTAATCCAACATTTATACTAAATTCCCCTTGCCCTTACCCTTCCCACTAAAATCTCCCCATCTCACCCCCACCTCGCCCCCACCATGGCCTCCTCACCCCCAACCCTAATCTTCAACTACGACATCTCCTGCCCCTTCGCCTACATAGCCTCGACCCGCGTGCAATCCCTGGCCCGCCGCACAAATGCAACCCTGATCTACCACCCTGTCCTCCTCGGCGCCATCTACCGCGCCACCGCCGCGCCCCAGGGCGCCGGCGGCAGCGCCAGCGACGTCTTCAACTCGACGAAAAAGAGCGTCACAGCAACGGGCATGCAGCGCACCCTATCCCGCTACCAAATCCCTTACCACCCCCCGCCCAAGCACCCCCGCAAAACAGTAAATGCGCTGCGCATGCTCTATTGCGTCCCCGAGCAGGACAAGAGAAGGCAACTTACGGACCGGCTGTTCCGCGCGTACTGGGTTGAAGGGCGAGATGTAAACGACGACGCTGTGTTACTCGAGATTGCACGCGAAGCCGGTATTCACGGGCTTGATCGGGCTTGCTTTGCGAACGCGGAGGCGAGAGGGGAGTTGGAGCGCGAGACGGGGCTGGCGATTGAGAGGGGTGCGTTTGGGGTGCCTGGGTTTTGGATTCCGGGGGCTGGGGAAAGAGAGGGGGGAGGAAGGTTTTTTTGGGGTCAGGACCGCATGCATTTTGTCGAGGCGACGCTGCTTGGACTATCGGTGGCGGCGGCGGCGGGTTCTGGGAAGGGAGGCCAAGATGCGTGGGTTGGAGTGAAGAATTTGCGGTCGCTGCTTCCGCGTGTTGTGCATTCGAATCAGTTGCCTTTTGCGAGTAAGTCGGCTGTTAGACTGGAGTTTTGGTTCGATTTCTCGTCGCCGTGGGCGTTTTTGGGGTACACGCAGCTTGCGCGGTTGCAACGCACGTTTGGGCCTGGGCTGGAGATTGTGCTCAAGCCGTTCTTGCTGGGAATCTTGTTTCGCCAGATAGGGGCCCCGAATATGCCGATGATGGCGGTGAGCCAGGCGAAAGCGGAGTGGTCGAGGCGTGATCATGCGGATTGGACTAGGTGGTGGAATGCGGTCGATGTGCAAGAGGGGCAACAAGAGGGTGGCAAAGGGAAAGATGGGCCGATCAAGTTTTATTGGGCTGATAAGTTTCCCATACGTACGCCGACGGTGCTTAGAGTGGGGATCGTGGAGCCGGCGGCGACGAAGGTCTTATGTAAGTCATTTATTCGTTTGTCCATGGGTCTTCGACTTTGCTTCCGCAGAGGTTGTTGCACAAGAGACTGTTGATGAGAGTTTCAGGAAGCAGACGCTAACAGGGTGATAGACTCAGCATGTTGGGAGCAGAACAAAGACGTGGCAGACGAAGCTGTACTCCAATCAGTTCTTGATGAAGCAGGATTCAATGGCTCTGATCTCATTGCGCGCGCCAATAGTCCTGCCGTCAAGGAGAAACTGCGAGCTCTCACCGCTGAAGCCAAGGAATTAGGGCTTTGTGGTGCACCTACCTATCGTGTATTGAGACGGCAACAGGACGGAGAGTTCAAGCCTGTAGGTGGCTTAGTGTGGGGACAAGATGAGATCAGTGTTGTTGAGGACTTGATTGCTGGATGGTCGCCTGAGGAGAGCAACGGCCAGGTTGCTGAAGTAGGCAAGGTCATGTATGAGGATGTACAAGGCGGAAAGAGTGTTGGGGCAAAGTTGTGATCATAGTCACCACACTGTCATTGTGGCTGGATATTTATGTAGATGACATGGAACATGAAAGAATCTCGGGTTATCTCACGGCGATTTTCAAATTTATTAAAACCATGTATAATTCCGATACAAGTATGTAATGGGTAAAAACGACCCTGGAAAGAACAAGCCATTGCGCCAAAACCTGGGGTCCTCCCGGGTATCATCAATCATAAAAAGTGGTCGTGTGGGTATCTGCTGGGGTATATCGCATGTCGTGGTGGGTGATTTGAAAAGATGGCTGAAGCCCGTGGTCGGTCGTTGCAAAATTGCAGAACTTCAAAAGCTAAACATCAACTTGGGGATATGCGCGGCGCTTCCTTCTCCGTGCTGCCAGCTGTGGTGTCCAAATGCCACTGAAAAGGTCCTCGCATTCGTCTTCGTCCTGCGAATCGAATTCAATATCTGTCTCCTTGGCCTCGGTGACCATGGCATTGTCATCTTCTTCTGGGGCTTGATCCCATTCTGATCCTTTGACAGTCCTCTTAGCCTCAAGGATGAACTTTCCAATCTTGTACTTTTGACTGTCTTCTGCGGCATCGACATACTTCCATCCTAGGACACTACCACAACTGCGACAGCTTATGTCAGACACAATGTGTACACCAGTGACCAGCTGTCGGGACTGGGGCTTGTGTGTGAGTGTGTTGGGCAAGTCGCCATTCTTGAAGCCTGTTGCTGCGATGCTTCCGCCTGAGAGAAAGCTGAATGACGACGGTGGACTGACAAGGTATGCACGGCCATGTCTTCCAGTGAAGCCCTTACTGATGATCGATGACGTCGGAATAAGATCGGCGAGGCATTTCTGACAACGAAGATGCGAGGTCGGCTGGGTGGCGAGAAAGGATGTAGGCTGTGGCGGGGACGAAGACAGCGATGAGGATGAGCTGGTAGAATCGCTAAAGGCAGAGCTGCTGCGCCGGCGGAAGGTGAAGCTTGGGAACAGGTAAAGAGGAAAGGGTGTTGTTGGTGAGTTGGGCATGATGTGCTAGGGGTGTGGAAACCCGGTTAGTACGAAGTCTTGTTGAGTGTTTTTCGCAAAATCAGATCAAAGTTCTCAAAGATGGCTCAAACAGGTGCGTGGAAAGTATTGGCGGCGTGGAGAAGTATTCAAAGAGATACAGTCGCGCAGTAAAGAAGATAGTGTTCCTGGTTATGTTCGATGAAGCGCTCAATCAAAGGTCGAGGCTAAATTGGCTCGCAACCCGTGGGATGATGTCTGCAGCCTGTGTAATATTTGCGTCAAGATCCGAGGAGCCTAAGGAACCCCTCGCTGGGGTTCGGCGTGGGTTGCTAAGTCCACCTTTGCAGGTTGTTGCGCAGGAGGAAAGTGACGTGATGGAGTTCGAGGGGGTGATGCCGCGATAAGCGATAGCCGATAAGGGATAAGACACGGATAAGGCGCCACAAGCGAGTAAGGCGGAGCAGGGCGGGCGGGTGCGCTTGGAGTAATCGCAACCCTTGTAGCACTCAGGCGTCGATGGGCTGGGTGTGGTGGAAGTAAGAACTGCAGCAGAGAGGGAGGGAGGAGCGAGGAATAAAACACCAGGCGGTCAATACGGAACTCTGGTCGTGTCCTCGGGTGGTACCCCGCGCCATCGAATCACAGTCAGCCTCCTGATCATGCGGCCCTTGGAAACCCAGTATCTTGTCACGGGATGCGCTGGCACTCGAATCACATAAGATTGGGACACACACGTTTGCTAAGATATGTGTGTCCCGGTGACTGGTGCTTGTGCGCTGGAGCCGTGGCAAGATGCGCTTCTGCTGTCATGCCACAACCCTCCAGGAGATGCCCCACTCTTTCACTCCAGCAAACTCCTCTTGCGCACTGTCCTAGGGCCAAGCTAAACCATGATCATCGTTTCCACCAGACATGATGGATATGATATGAGGGATGGAGGTTGCTTTGATGCCCTGTTTGCCACCATTCTCAGCTTCAAGCCATCATGTGTGGGCTGACGCTGCTTCACATCTTCGCTGCTGCGCTTTCCGTTTACGGCGTCAACAACGCCTTCTCCCCATGGCATACAAAACCAGACTAGTAGGGATTTCCACTCCCATTGCTCCACTTGCTTCCCTGGCTGGGTATTGGCTGAATTCCCAGCGTTTGTCCAGCATTATTACTCCATCCCAGTACTAACATTAGGTGATATTGAGACATCAGAATTGTCGCCATGATGTCTCTTGTGCCAACGCGGAAAAGAAAAGATGTCCACAACCCCGGGCAAGAAGCCCAGGACAAGGGCAAAGTTCGTCTTGTCGAGCGATCGGTAGACGCCCATCCTGTTGCTACTGCAAAGCGTCCGCATGCGCGCAATACTACTCCTGCTGGCCGTACTTTCACCACACTACGGCGTGGGAGCATAAGAATTTTTTCCATCTTCCGTAATGGTAAGAGTATGTGTCTTGGATGTCTTGTCCTTGAAGTCATCAAATCTAACTCTACCATCAGGCTCTACTCCGAGCTCGGCAGAGGCTACGCTGGGAAGCAATGGCTCAGCAGCGAACAAATCTTGTAGTCCGGCTCATCCGAGAGTTGGAAAACGCTTCTCCACATCTTCTTCGCGAATCCCTCTTACCTCCGACCTACCTATCAGTCTCCCGCCCCTCAGCTTGGGTCCTGGCAATTCATCCTTCCTACATCTTGCCAACGCTGCCACGTTCGATGGCGAATCCGAACCAGTATTCCAGACTCGCACACCTCCCCCTACGCCTGTAAACACAAGCAGGTCGACTCCGAGCCTGTCTAGGCAGCTGAGTGCCAAGCTTTCGAATGCCCTACTCGACAATGAAACCGTGGTACATCGCCTAAAATCTAGTGCCCGACCTGTTGTTGAACTCAGTTACTTCAACCGACACAGCAGCGACAAAAATACTACCATTTCGCCTAAGACTCCCATGTCCGAGGTATCTTCCCTGCCCTCAAGTGGCTTCAGTCCAGGAAGCAGTGGGGCTCCACAGTCAACTGCTCCCACTTCTCTGGTTTCTTCAGGCGGCCCACGATCTGCTGAGACAACACTTCGCACACATAATGGCCGCTTTGTAACCGACAGCTCGCCTCCTCTTTCCTGTGAAGCGACCGCCGAGCATTCACCCTCTCGGTTCTTGGTGTTCCCTCGCCAAGACGCACCACGACTACGTGAGCCTTCTATTGCGACTATTGAAAAGGCGGCGGCAGCGAAGATCTTCTTCGAGTCACATTTCAATGAGCTTCTTACTACCAAAGTTACACCAAGATCGATGCGTCGTCGCCAGATGGAGCGTAGACTTCTCGTCATGACTGTCTCTGAGGAGCAACGTCAATGCAATAGACAAGAATAGTATCTCTCCGAAACCTACCACTTGCGTCAAGTCCGAGTAATGAAATCGAACACCGTAGCTCGACGGACTATGAAGAGCGTACACGTCTCAAACTACGATATCATCCGGGTGTTAGGGAAAGGCAGCTTTGGTGTCGTCAGACTTGTTCGTGAGAAGAGTGGAAACTGCGAGAGTCTCCGTGGAAGCAGCTCCAGCACGAGATATCTTGACGGGTCGTTGACACCGAAGCAAGAAAGCCCTTTTATTCCTTGTCGCAGACCAAAACAGGTGTTCGCCATGAAAGTTATCAGGAAATCCGACATGCTTCGCAATAGTCAAGAAGGCCATCTGCGTGCAGAAAGGGATTTCTTAGTTGCCTCAGAAAACTCCCGTTGGGTAGTGCCTCTAATTGCCGCCTTCCAAGACAATAATAATTTATACCTTGTTATGGAGTACATGATAGGTGGAGATTTTCTCGGACTTCTCCTTCGCGAGGACATTCTCGATGAGAACGTGGCTAAGTGGTATCTGGCGGAAATGATACTTTGCATTGAAGAAGCACACAAGATGAACTGGATCCATCGCGACGTCAAACCCGACAATTTCCTCATCACCTCATCTGGCCACCTTAGAATTTCTGACTTTGGCCTCGCCTTTGATGGCCACTGGGCTCATAATCAAACATACTATAACGAACAACGGTACAGCTTGCTACGTGAATTAGGCTTACATGTCCAAGGCGATGCACAAGACATGGAAGAAGAGAGAAACCGACAAGATGCTCGCAAAAACATGGACCATGTCTTTGGAAATGAATCAACGCGCAACCGCTATCAAACTCGACAGGAGACTGCCAATGGGCCCATTGTCGATTGGTTGAACCGTGAGCAAAGACGTCAGTTCGCAAAGAGCGTGGTGGGAACCAGTCAGTATATGGCTCCAGAGGTCATCAGGGGTGAAAACTATGATGGGCGTTGTGACTGGTGGAGCATCGGTGTGATACTATACGAGGTATGTCGCTTCAGAAGGCGTGAGACATCTCTGACACGCCCAGTGCCTCTATGGATGTACACCGTTTTTCTGCGAAAACAGGCAGGCGACAAAGGCGCGAATACTCGTACGTAGGATCTTATAGGATCTTGAATTAAGACTAACCTGAGTAGGATCACAGACGATGGTTGCGATTCCCAACCGATCAACGTTACGCTCGTCCGAATATTGATCGCATACCCCTTGTTCCAGTCTCACGCAATGCAGTCGACCTAATGTCGAGACTCCTCGAAGAGAGACAGGACCGACTTTCCGCCAAGCGATACCGTGAGAATGACTGGGTGCTCCGCGATAAATCTCTCAGTATCCGCAGCAACCGACACATTCACAACAACACCGGTCACATTGTCTTTCCCCACGATGCTGAAGATATCAAATCGCATCCATTCTTCCGCAACATCCAGTGGTCGCTGCTACACATGACCCGCCCTCCTTTTGTACCTCGTGTCCATGGCGGACAGCCCATCACCAAGTACTTTGACGACGAAGCCGACATTTTAAGCGCATCCGATCATCTCGACTCTTCCAGCTACGATTTTTTGGAAGTAGGCGAGGAGCCAGCACCGCCTTTTGCTGCAACAGCACCCAAAGCTAATGTCGATCCCCCACCCATCATAATGGAACCCCAAGTCCGCATCCCTGGAATCTTTGAACAAATCGCATGGGACAGGCTGCATTCTTCATTCAAGAAAATACCAAGGCGGAAAAGGGAGAAAAAGAGACCTCGCGACAAGCTGCTCCGCGATCCAGAAGTCGGCCGCGCGGTACTAGAGATCAGGAAGAGGGGCGCTTTTGTAGGGTATACGTATCGTAGGCCTCACTTCTCATTGCCTGACTTGGACGATAAGCCTGCGGCGACTTCACCGCATATGCCTCGGTCTGGTTTGACTGCTACGAGTGCCTAGACTTTTTTGTATTCCAGTCGTCGTTTGGTATCATTAGAAAAACGTCATTTACAACCAAACGTTTCTTCCATTCTCACTCGAACCAACGTATTACACCCAAAACAACCCTCTTTCTTCTTCAAAAAGCGAACACAGAAAATTTTTTTCAACTACATGATCCAGAACTATTCTTTCGCCCCCCTCCTCATCCCCCTCACATTCCGCCCAAACACCGCCCACAACACCCCCGCCGTCACTAGAAACGCTAAAATCCCCATGGTAACTCCTAATCCTGCTGCCGCTGCGCCACTAAGCCCCGCCGACGACTTCGCCGGCTTCACAGACCCAACAGAGGCCGATGCCGTATTGCCAACCGTACCTAGCCCTAGAAATGTAGTACTTATACTCTCAAATGCAGCAGGACGGGATAGTACACCGGTTGGAGGGGATGCAGGAATCACTGTGCCTCCCTCGGTATCACTATCACTCTTACTCTGGTATACCCCTGCCGAAGATGGTGCTTCTGGTGCAGAAGAAATGGGCGAATTCGTCCTTGGGGTTCCGGAAATAGCATCTGAGGAGGAGAGAGGGGGACGGGTGCTGGATACGACTGGTGCTGGAGCCATGGAGATTACGATGGGAGTGATGCCCCCGGTTTTTGTGGATGGGGATGCCATGGTTGCTGTGTAGAGGTGGGGCTAATGTGTGTTAGGGTTTTTTTGTCGTGTGGAGGTGGTGGGATGGGTTGAGCATGTGGAAAAGATGGGAGTGGGTGAGTTTCCATTCTTTTTCTTTGGCTTGCGGACCAGAGAGGTGGTGTGGGGAGAGTTGTTCGTTTGTTGCCCGTTTGCTTCACAGGTAGAATTCATTTTGTTGGCGTGTGTTAGCACGCAAGTTGTCGTGTGGCGTTGGGTGGGATGCGGTCGGTGTCTGTTTGCTGAGGACGAACATGGGCGTTGCTTGGTAATTTCAGACTAGAGACTGACCAGGGTGGTTTATTCTAAACTGAAGGGTATAGCTGCGGATTGCGAGTCCGGAAAGCGGCGATGGAGCTGTGTGTTAATGGGGATACACAAGTCATCAATAGAGGGAGAATGCACATAGACAAAATACTATTCCTTATTCACTATCGCTATGCTACATTACAAATGGACGGACCTATTCGAGTCCACAAATTTGGAAATCCGACTATGTCTTAAAACAGATTGTATTCTATAATTCTAAAGATTCGAAGCGAAGGTGAGGCGATTACTTGCTACGGCGGAAAGCAGCGAAAGGAGGGAAGAAGTATGCGGGGTGGAATGCAGTGAGCACTGCGCATGCGATACCAAGCATCCTGGTCATTGTAAGCTAGATGTCCCGAACATTTAATGAATAGTGTAACTTACATTCCGTCAAGCAAAAGGAACTCCCGCTCATTACGCATCAGCGCATTACCCCAGCCACCAGCCATCTCTGGCAAACGGTAAATGCAGCGGATAAGCACAGTAAGGTACGCCAATACAATGACGCCACCGAAAAGCTTGACTTTTCCAAGGGAGACACTGCCAGCTTCCTTGTCCATCTCGTAGCTGCTCTTCTCGTTGAGCGCATCGCGGTTATGGCGGGCCTTGCGATATCGGAAGATGTAGATGAGAATAAGAATGCCACATACAGCCATGGTGACAACCTGGAATGCGATACCAGCTACGATGAGATTGTTGCCACCATCAATGAGCTTCTTGTTGGTAGTGCCACCGGCAGCTGCCATGCCTCCACCGACAGCCTGAAGCACAATGGAGCCGAAATCGCAGCCGACAAAGATCCATGGATAGAGACGAGGCTTGATGAGTGAATGCTGGGGCCCACAGTACAGAACAAAATGCTTCAGTGTGAGGTATATGGCGGCAGCAACGAAACTAGGACCGAGGACGAGGCAGCAAATTTGCAGCTTGAAACCAGATTCGCTCCACGGGTTGTCATTCATAATGATGCGACCGGCATATCCAGCGGTTTCGAGGAAAGTTCCGATGCCCAGGGCAAGAGTGTAAGTCCATGTCTTGCTCAGAATGCCAATGACAATGCTAGCGAGGCAGCAAAGAGCGAAGAGAGCGCAGAGGAAGGCATTGGCACCGAGATTCGGTCTGTATCCGTAGAGCGTAGCGAAAACAGGACATTCAGGCGACACTTCGAGACATTGGCGGAAATTTCCCTTTGGCCTATCCTCGGCGGCGGAAACAATGATAACCTGTGCGGCCAGGACAAGGGTAGTAACGAGACCTTTTTGTGCGTAGGAACGCATTATGGGCGAAAATGGACGAAATGGTATTTACAGAAGCAGAAGAGAAAGAAGAGCAGACGAAGAAGAAGGGCGCGAAACGATACAAGCGACACCAGGCAGCAGATTGGTTGTGATGTCTAAGCCATGCAGGCGTGGGTCGTCGACCAGCTCTTTCCGCGGCGCATGGTCGCTTCGAGGGGGACGCCTAGCCAGCCCTCTTGCCATAATTATCCCCTGTGTGTTACTAGTCGAAAGGTGACACCCACCAACCGTATAGGCCGTGTTCCCATGATCGAGACTTCGCGAAGCTCTAAGCGAAGCTGGTCTGCGATACTGCTCTGCACGCTATTGGCTGCGCTTGCACCGTTAGGTCGATATGTCATGGCCAAGGCGTTGGCGTCAACGACTTGTGTTTAGGCCACGGGTTGGGTGTCTCCCGGGCGCATGGGTCCCGCTATGTCGTCCATTTGTGGTGGCGCTGTGCGAGGCCTGCCTTGTATGGGAAGGTGTTTGACGCGTGCAGGGGGCGAATCATGTCGGCTGCGTGGCGGCTTCGGTTGCAAGTCTGGTGCTGCCGTTTTCCCGCTCGTTTAGATCTGGTCTTCCATTGCAATTAATTGTCTGTAGTCATCGCAACGAACGCAGATCCTGCGTGTTTAAGCTTTCTTATATCAGCTTCCTCCAAACCTTTTCGCTACTACAACCGATGCGCAGGTATCGATTTCGTGAACTCTTAGAATACTTGCTAGGCTTCGTGAATTGCGCCGGACGCTTGGAACGAACATAAGCTACCCTTGGTGTATATGCTAATGTCGCATTTTCGGATTGATTGTACAACTTCCGTGCCGTATTCGCGGTGGCTGATTTCAAAGAGGTTGAAAGGGCTGTGTTGGCTGACGTGCAGGACTTGGAGGCTAGCCCAATGGAGACTAGCTTCCCAGCTGATATCCAAACATATTTCTTACCAAGTCTTTATAAGTCGCTTCCGGGAAATATCACAAGTGTATGGTACTACCGTTGCTGACCGCTATAACCTATACTCAGTCAGCTATTCGAGGGAACTTTTTCGTGCTTACCTTTGCAGCTTCTAAACATAATTAGCGTGTACAAGGTATTTCAGCTGTGTATGGTTGAAGAGCGGATTGCCATGGTTCCTGATTTCTAGGTCCCAGCTTTTCAGAAGTCTCCTCCACGTACGTATCAAAAGGCTCGAGTTTGATTTATTAAAAATGCATCTCGCAGTACAAGTGTCACTACACTTAGGAGATCAATCGAGAAATACTACAGTCAATGGCGGTTGTGGCTTCATCCCTACAAATAGCTGTGTAACGGTTTTAAACAACCCCACCTTCTATATACTTGGTTCAGCGTAAGACCTCAGCTACAGAACAACCGATGTGATTGGCTAGTCCCTAGTAATCGTATGATGATTGGACCACTAGAACGCTGACTGCATGTGGTCAGCCTGCTCATCCTCGGGTTTGAAAAGTTTTATGGCTAACTTAATCCAATGTAGACATGCAAGATTTGATATAAAGTGACGTACAGCTTCAATCTTAGTCTATAGAAACCTTCTGAAATATCATAAGCCTCTCGCATTTCCAATCTCGTCCCATCTATTTGCGATTCTTTTATACGCCTGACCTAGATGAGAGAAGTACCATGGATCATATTGGACCGTCAACGAACTTGGCCCATATCGGATGTTTACAATTACCAATAGCTTTTCTTCTCACAGTGTCCTATCAATGTATTCGTTTGAACATTAAGGAGTTTCTGTTGCAAATATATACCAGTTAGATAACCCCTCAATGTCCATTTTCTTTTCACCAAATCGCCCTACTCGATTCTCTCATACTCAACATATTGCTCAAGTCTACTAGCTACTCCTGCCTTATATCTTCCTCTCTTTTCAACATGAAGATTCCAGCTTTCATCTTTCTTCTCCCAGTCTGTCTCTGCACAGTCATGAACAACTGGGAGCTCACTTTATATCTTCACAATGGCACGAAGCTGATTACAGCCGGCTACTTCGAATCGGGATGCAGGTCATACAAAGACACTTTGACCTCACCCGTCAAACGGGTTGTGATGAAAAAGAGCCCTTGGATGGAAAATTTCGAATTGTATGCGCGAGCAGATTGTCATGAGCCCGTTAGCTATCAGGGACACGATGGCGACATCCAGATCAAACCGCCAAGCTACTTCAGGAGCTTCAAAGTCTACTAGCAGGTATGTGCATAACACAAGAGGTGCCATTATATCATGTAAAATCACATTTATCTATTCAGGTTTCCTAACAACAGGTAGGGTTAGATGCAAGCAACCAGCGTGCATTTTGCATTCGTACGAGCATAAGACGTCGCTGTCTTGATCCTCCAAGCCCGATAATAACATTCAATTCTACAAGGGGCTTCGAACGAACGCATTGATGTACACAGCCACACCCAACTATTAGACATCGAGGGGCTTATTGAGTTGAATGGCATCTTAGGCGAACCGAACAGGATCGGTCTTGGTCTTGCTTTATTGGAGGGTTTTTCTATAGGATTACACAAATGGCTTCACCTCACTTAATCAAACCCCCATCATCACTGAAATTAAATATGAATTTCGCAACTGTAGAAGTTCTACAAAAGCTACATGTTTCTGAAAGTGTTGAATTTTCACAATCGATACGTAGTGCCACTAGAAAACCTCGGTGCAGCAGATCACACTTTATTCAAGCGGCAAGATATGATTGGTAAAATATGGAAATGACGTGTCTAAATAAACTCCAGCCATGTTGCATCTCTACTACGCTGATCAGATTTACACGACAAAAAAAGACCTAGAGCATCAATTTCCCATCACCACCCCAACTGCTAACAAGCCTTATCGTTCAACCCATTCGATCCCCACCTCATCCTGCCTATTCATCCTCAGCGTCAATACGTTCTGGCTATCCTGCATGAGATCCAGCAACCGCAGTCTCGCCTGCTCTTCACTCTCGCCCTCTTTCCTCACAGGCCGAGCATTGCATCTGCGAAAGAGCGTCGCCACCACAGATACGAATTCCACCTGCGACATCTTCATTCCAGGGCACGAGCGGGGACCTATAGACCAAGACATGTATGTGCCGTGGGGCGGTGTGATGAAGACGGGCTCTGGCGAGTTGGGGTCGAGCCAGCGGGTAGGTTTGAATTCGAGGGAGTCTGGTCCCCATGTTGAAGGTAGAGTGTGCAGGGCCATTGTGTTGATGTATGCGCCGAATGGACCTGCAAGTGAGGAGGTGCGATCTTCAAGTTTCAAGGTCTGACTGGTTGCGGCGTCCCGCAGCATGAGAGTCACAGCAGGGAACAGGCGTGCAGCTTCAAACTATGAGGTTAAATCGTTAGCTCAGTCATTTTGCTATGGAAAGAGATTATGCAAGTTGGTTTTGTTTGGGGCAGACAGGAGAAGCGGGTGTTTGAATGGATGACGAGTATTCCGAATTACTTACCATGACGGCTAAACACCGCACTAGCTTGGGGTAGACTGCTGAGTAGTCTGACTGTGATGGGCTGCATGTTTCGAAAACAGTATCAATCTCAGTCTGTATCCATGTTTGCCATTCTGGATACACAGCGAGGAGGGTAGCGGCGTAACTCATTGTGTTTGCAGTCGTTTCGTAACCAGCAGCGGTGAAAACGAAGAGATTCCCGCCAATCTCTTCCTCTGTGAGATATGTGGTACCCTTTTTGGACGAAGCCAGGGTTTTGTTTTGCTCCTTTTCCTGATCCGATATGCGAACAAGCGTGGTCATGATGGTAGTGGAACTATTTTTTGAATTCTCTGTCGCCTCTGTGGCATCTGACTGTGCGAGAAGAGATACTTGACGTTCTCGATCAAGCACATTCTTCACAAGATCTGGCATCTCATTCATTGCGGCACCCTAGTTTTTTAGTGACTGCGGCATGAAAGGTAGCGTCAGCCAGCTGCGTGGAATAAAGGCGGCTGCAGCAAGGAGTTAAACGACGGTTACAACGGCGTCGACATATCTGGTTTGTGCAGATGATTCAGTACTAGATGGCGGTGGAGACAGAGGAAGGCCATATTGCCTGCAAGTATGGTTAGCCTGTTGTTTTTGCTTTTGTGCAGATGGAGAAGGTTAGGCGACTTACACTATCTGGATTGTAGGGGCAGAGGATCACGGGCAATCCAGTAGCGCGGGCTGCCTGGTAGTTGTTACTAAACCTCCTTAGCTTTGGACCCAAGTACAGGAGCACTGCTCCTATGAATCCGGCGATGAGAGTAAGCAGCATGGCTTTGGGAAAGATAGTGTCTTTGATCAGTTCAGGCGTGTCGGACAATGTTCCAATGGCCACTGATTGTCTGGTGAATTGAACAACAAGAGTATAGTCAAATCCAAGGACTCTCATAGGCGGCGTGCCGTTGATGTTGTTCAAGATGCCCCTGCCGGAAGATCTTGATCCGGAGTGTGAGAAAGCAGACCACCCGACTATAGCTTATGCTGTACCAAAACATGCCCTGCCAAGAGGCGCCAATAGGCGCTCAAACCCAGTGAATATTCGCAGTCTCAGCCAATACTAATGAAATCTATCTCCCATCTTCGTATTTTCTCTTGTTTGGTCATTTCTACTTGGAGAATATACGTCTTGTTCTGAAATGAAACTAGCCCTGTCTTTAGCTAGCGTAGTAAGAGAAACACTAACTTGTAGTACGTAAGCTACTAGTAACGTAATGAACACGCATAACAGACTTGAGAATTGCTAGAAAAACAGTTAGAACGTAGAAGGAAACTTCTTGTTGAAGTTTAGTGTGCCATATCCAGACCAGGATAGGGTGGCGTCGCCTGTCTACACCCGAATTGTGTGTGTGTGTGTGTGTGTGCACGGTGTTACGTCGCCCTTGCCTCGGTCTGACTAGTACCGGGTGTCTGTGCGTATGAGGACTTAGCATGTCACTGCGTCACCACTTTACGAGGGACGTTGTATGTGATATGTAAACAAGTACAAAGGGGGCAGGCAGCAAGAGAGCAAACTATGTACAAGTACAGGTACATAGAAGCCCTTGCTATGCACATGGTTTACTGCCTGTTCGTTTGGTTTGCAAGCAGGTGGACCGCTTGCCGTTGGATGCGGGTGTTGTGTTGGACCAACTTGTAAAGATGATGAAATGCTAGTGTGCAGTCTTTGCAAACTTTGTGGCGGAAGGATGCGCATGGGAATTGCCAAAACAGAGCGCATAGTAGTTGGATATAATGTGTAGTATGTCCGTATGTAGTCACGTAGTGTACCTGTCTGGGAAGTTGGCTGCAATCACGAAACGATGGCGTGATAGGCAACGATCTACCACACTAATCCTACTCGGGCCCCTCTCTTATCGCCGCAACGTCGGGGCCGGGCCAGGCCAGGTACCGCGGCCCCATGACGCGCAACATTGAAACATGTGCAATACCAAAAACACTAAACACTTAGGCTGACTCCTAATACCTCATCCCCATTTTGCAGTCGAACCAAAGCAGCCATGGCATCTTCGGACGATCTGAGCAAGCTCGCGACCCCGCCCATGTGCACGGCAGACTTTTGTCTCATCCCGCTCGGCACCCCCACGGCGTCGGTGTCCAAGGAAGTGGCAGAGGTGCAGCGTCTCCTCAAGAAGAGCGGACTGGAATACTCAATGCACTCTGCTGGCACGACTCTTGGTAAGGCTTGCCCATGCAGCACACATCCTTCTCGGCCGGGAAGCAGTCTGCTTATGTGTCCCTGTGGTATTATCTGCGGGGTATCATGGCATGGCATGGAGGGGTAATCAGAGGCGAGGCTTGGAGCGCATGCTAATTTTTTCTCTTTGCAGAGGGCTCATGGGACGATGTGATGCGGGTTATAGGGCAGTGCCACGCCATGCTCCACCAGAATGGCATTGTGAGGATTCAGAGCGACATCAGGGTGGGGAGCAGGACGGACAAGAAGCAGGGGTTCAAGGACAAGGTTGCGGCCGTCGAGCAGCTCTTGAGGGAGGATGAGGGCGCGTGACGCGTGGTCGAGGATGACTTGTCAGGGCGGCGGATGGGATGCATGAAGAAGAAATTTGACGTTGCCAGTCCGGCGTGAACACGCAGACGGCACATGTGGTTGCCCAAGCCACAGGGCGTGGGTGAAACAAGGCTTCTTTTTGCGCCATTGGCTGTTTGGTGTCGTGGGCCAGTAGGCGGATGCTGGGGTAGGATGACATGGCTAGGATCGGCTAGTATTACGTGGAGAGCGTAGGACGACGGCCGTGTCGCAGATTACCGTGCATGTGTGTATGGATATTCATAGACGGCGTGTGTGTAGTGTAGCTGTGCTGGCACTGGCAAGCGACGAGGGGCCAGGGCATGTGAAACGGTCGGTCGAGGCTGCGGCCTGTGGATGGCTCAATGGCAAAGGCAACCCCGCATGCTGGTGCTCCAGAATCTTCACCGCCAGTCGACGTGGAAGTGGAAGCACAGTAGCGCAGTGTAGGCTGTGAGGGAGGGCGGCAGTGATAGGCCAGGCCCTGGGGAGACGCACGGCCGAGGGGAGGTGGAAAAAAGTTGGCGGGTGCCGAGCAGCATCATCCTTGACGTCGGTACCTCCATCCCGGAAAATCCCCTCGACTCCCGCAAATATCCTCGCGCCTCGCACACTCCCATCACTCCACCATCTCCTGCCACCTCTGCTCCCGCCCGCCCACTGCGCCCTCGCCAGCCCATACCATCCTCTGCTCTCCGTCAACACACCCTCTCCGCCCCACGCCGACCGCCCCGTCTCTCCCGTCAGTGTCTCGTGTGATCGCATGGCAAATGCACGCGACCGCACCATCACCTGCCAATCTCTAGCTCCCGCCCGGTAAAGTCGACGCTCAACCCCTCGCTGCACCGGGCGATCCCACTCAATCGCCATGGCTTTCAACTTCAACTGGTCCCCGCTTATCGCAGACACGTCGCGCGCCCGCGACATGCTCACCACCGCCCTGAACAAGTCGCCCAAGCCGCCCATCATCGTCGACGACATCATCGTCACCGAGCTGAACCTGGGCACCACCCCGCCCGAGCTGGAGATACTCGAGATTGGCGACCTGGCAGAGGACAGGTTCAGGGGCATCTTCAAAATGTCGTACGCCGGCGATGCCTTCCTGACCCTCAAGACAAAGGTCCAGGCAAACCCGCTCAAGACGTACTTATCCACAAAACCAGACTTTGCCTCACCCCAGCCCTTGGCCGCCGCCTCGGGCCTGACGATACCTCTGCAAATCACCCTCTCCGAAATCCGCCTGTCCGGCTTCGTCATTCTTGTCTTCTCCAAGCAAAAGGGCCTGACGCTCGTCTTCCGCAACGACCCCCTCGATTCGCTCAAGGTCTCTTCAACCTTTGACTCCATCCCCTTTGTGCGCGACTACCTCCAAAAGGAGATTGAGGGCCAATTGCGTGTGCTCTTCATGGAAGATTTGCCAGCTATCATCCACAGGTTGTCCCACCGAATGCTCTCGCCAGAGTACCGCGAAATCGACATGGAAGAACGCTTGGAGGGGCCCAAGGATACAACCGCCGCCATCGACCCTCTTGCATCCCCGCCTCAAGATGCTGTCGATGCCTTTGGCAATCCCCTAGACGAAGCCCAAATATCTGCCTTGTCCCTCGACTCGGGCGAGATACATGCCTCGTTTTCGCAGAAGAATATCCTGCGCCTCGCCGCACTCTCCGAATCTCAGCGAACCCTGTCGCTCTTTACACCTGGCATACGTGATGCTGTGTTCCGTGCCTGGGCGGGCCATCCCGACCGGCCCGAGTCTGGCGTCGCTACCCCTGCGCTTACACAAGGCAGTTTGTCAAGGATTCAGTCAACGTTTGGTAGCCTAAAGTCTGGCGCATCTTCGGTTGCTTCTGACAGCACGGGCAACGAGACCCTGAGCTCACGGCCGACCATGGCTTCGTCTTTTTCCTCGTCGGCCGGACTCAGTCTCGGCTCCGCTCGCTCGCGCGCCGGGGGCATGCGCAAACGCAAGAAGCGCGTCGTCGATCTACGAAAAAAGGACACACCAGACTCTGGTGTGTCTACAGGAGAAAACACACCACTACCGAGCGCGTATGCATCCGAGACATCAAGCGTCATACCAGAAGAGAGGGAGGCAGAGGACGAGCTGGCTACTCCGCCAATGAGTCCCACGCAGCCAGGAGTGCGCTTCGAGGGCAGGCGTGGAAGTCTCGATGTTGGTACCCCCAAACGTATACCTGAGTCCAAGCCGGTACTCGAAGAGCCACCCACGTTTGGTTCTCTCGCCCCTGCACCCGAATTTTCAAAAGCACCTAGATCTACAAAGTCGAAGCAACCAGCACCACAGCACTCACTACCATTTGTACATCTTGAGGACCCGTTCGTATCCCGCGGATCCAGACGCCCGCCCATTTCCCATAACAAGTTACGACAGGCCCAGCAATCCACCTCCCCACTCCTACGCTCCCTGTCTTTCGACAAGGTCTCGTCCCTCTCGGCTCTATGCTCGCCCCCTCGCGCCCTCTCCCCACCTAATACGAACATGGCATTCAGCTCTGGCGGCATCCTCGAGCAAGCCTGGATGCACAAGATGGCACAGGAAATTGCGAGAAAAGTGCAGGAAGAAAAGGACCGGTCTTCTCGGCAACGGCCCTCGAATCATACCCGCACAAAGACTGCCCCTGCTGGACGCAGCTTTTGGCAGAACGACGATGAGATTGAGGCTCCACCTGCTTATGTGGCGTAATACTGGCCTCTCTCTATCTCTCAAAACAGCAAAAAGTGGCCTTGTGATGAAGTTATGAGCGATGAAATTCCGTCATGACTAGCGCTTTTTTGTTTATCCTTTTTGTCTCTGCTCAACCATTTGGTCTATTTTTTTTTTTTGCTTTCTTGCTCTGTAATTTTGTTCCATGGGTTTTGAACCCTTTTGTTTCGTTTGTTCAACCAGCATTTGTGTCTTAGCATCGGCGTTGTCACGGGATAAAGGGTTGAAAGGGGGAAGAGGTAGGGTAAAAAAACAGGAGGCGGAGGTGATGAAAAGTATTGTTCGGTTTCAAGTTCGAAGAGAAAGAGGTGAGAAGATTTATTGCATAGTGCTAAACGGTAGTTGTTAGCACCGCTTCTTTTGTTTTTTTAACTGTTTGAGGCGCCAGGATTACGGGAATTCTGATCGAGGTTGGAGATCAGTGAGCATTGCAAGGAGCGGGAGGGGAAAGGAGCTACTCACCACACAACACTTTTTGTTTTTCCTTCTGTCATTACTAATCCATTTTACATTCTTCGTCTCGCAATTGAAACACGATGGGATCTTTCTCGTCTAGCTGGTTCTTGCGAATTTATACAGAAAAAAAATTATGGAGAAATATATACGTATATACACATATATTGTGGGTTAAAAAGAAATGCACATGGGGAAATATCATTCAAATGCACCACTCAAAAAATGACAGCTCAAAGTGTAAAGAGAGAAAAAAAATATACAAGTAGAATTTGCCATGATGAGGGAATATATGCACCCCCCCCCCCCCCTTTTAAACGCCCCAGTCGATGCATTCGTAACTTCGTAACCCCCCACGCCCAATCTAATCTTTTCTTACGAAAAAGAAAGGGAGGGAGTGGGGGATGGGAAAAGTAAAAATAACACGCAATAAAAAAAAACCATAACCTCCAAACACGCCCCCCATTTCACCCGGCAACATCGGCAATCCTAACCCACCTCTCCTCCAAAGCCAAGACAACCAACTCCTTGACACTCTCCAGACTATCCTCTTTGCCCAGGGCAACCGGACATAGCAACTGGGCGACTCGGGCGAGTACCTTGTACAGGCTGGCAGCCTTTTTTTCGATTTTGCTTGCGAGAAGCGCGGCATCTTCCGATGAAGGATTGGATTTGACGAGGAATTGATGCGGGGGGATGGTATTATGGGGTGCAGGGGAGACGGAAGAGAGGTGGTTGAGTAGTTTGTGGAGGAGGAAGTGGAGCCAGAGGAGGTTTGTTTTTGGATGGAAGGAACGCCATGGGGATGCGTCTTTGTCGTCTGTGTCATTTTCTTGGTTGGTGTCTTGGTCGAATCGGATGTGCGTGTTTTGACGGGGTGCAGAGTCACGCTCTTCTTGGTCTTCGTCGGTGCTTTCTTGAACGGGGGGCTGGAACGCCATTGGGTTTCCAAAGACGGTTGCGCCGCGCATGTAGCGGTAGATTTCGTACTGGTATTCTTCGCTGGCGTCGCCTTGGAAGATGGCGGGGTCCTTGTCGAGATTGAGGTAGGCTACTTCGGCTTCTTCGTTGTCCGTGTGGCTGGCGGCTGTGGAGCTGGAGACGTGGGATAGACTCGAGAGTCTGCGTGATGATGCGGGTGATATTGGTGCAGTGACAACGTCTGCGCGCGAAAGCGTGTAATCAATCACGGTGGTGTCGAGTCCCGTGAACCGCAATTTGCGACGCAGAGGATCCTTGATGCTGGGCTGCGATACGTCGTCCCCTGTTCGATTGGACCGCACGCAGATATTGCCCAAATGCAGGTCGCGATGCTCAAAGCGACATGCTTCTTCGGCTTTGCCGACACTAATGGCTACGCCCCAAAAGACATCCCATACCTCCCAGATGGAGGCTAAATGGCCTGCTTCCATCATCTTCTCACAATCGGTACCTGCGTCCTGCATTTCTACGACGGCCCAGAGTTGACTTTCGTCGTAGCTACATTTCTTACTGGGGTCCGGAAATTCGCTCTTCTTGCCGCGAGGGCGCGATTTATTCCACTCTTTCCATGCGTCGTTGAAGGACGCCGAGGGTCGGCCTTGTACGACCGTCAGATCGCGGAAGACTGTGAATCCGGGAATGTGAGTGAGGTTTTGGAGGAGCTTGACTTCCGATAAAACATCGTCGACTAGAGATTTGAACTGATCGTCTTCGTCTCGCTGTGCTGTTTCCTTTTCTATTTGTGCTTCAAGATCTCGTACAGCGCGGCCGTGAAGTTGGCATGGGAGAGGAGCAGTGGGCGGTGTCTTGAGCGCCACAACCTTCAGAACAGACTCTTCTTTGACGCCATTGGCTGATGATGTCGATGATAGGCGATACACTTCTGAGAAGGAGGCTTCTGCAATTTTGGAAACCTCAAAGTGAGGCTCCAGCTCGTCTGCCCAATCCTGAAATGTGATGATTTTCTTCCTGTCGCTGAAAGCTAGTAATGGGAAGGCGTAAATGGAATAGAGGTCGTCGGGTTCAGGTGTCGGTTCTGGAGTGGGTAGTTGAGAAACCGAAGTTGGCATGGCACGCTTCTTCTCCTTCTTCGGTCTTGGTACGGCTGCTACCGGACAGGTTGTGGGATCCGAGGCATTCATATTGCGATCGCTAAGCACCTTTCTCGGCTTCCTGGGTTTTTGTAGTATCTTCTGATTTTCTTCATCTTCTGGAGCATCGATCGCTAGTGTCTTCATGCTCTGTTCCAGTACATCCTCTAGCGGGGCAATGTTCTCCTTGGTAACATCAACATCCTGGCCGACCTTGGCTTCTTTCTGCGATTTTGTTCTCTTCTTTGTCGTAGTTCTCTCCTCTTTTGCACTTTGCCTCTTGTCAATCTGCAAATCCTCAAACGCCCTCTCCAGTACCGAAGCTTCATCCGTTGCTTTCAACGTGCTCCCATCTGCTCCCGCCGCTTCCAACAACTGCTCCCGCCAATCACTTGTTGTGTTGCTGTCTGCATTTTGGCTTTCCACTTTTCTGGGTGCGACTTCCTTCTCAGGCGACAACAACTTTGTGAACGCATTACGTTCGCCGTTTCTTTTCTTCCCGTATACGACTTTTGGGGGCATTTTGAGCGAATGAATAAGGGGTGTCGAGAGTGGTGGGTGAGGTGAGGCTCTGGTTTGACGTGTACAAGGGTGCTGTTGAACGGAAAGTCTAAGCGAGCTGGTTGGCCTGGCAACGACAGATCCCTGTCATGCCGTAGCCCTACCCTTATCCCAAGAACACCGTCTCCACTCCACACGTGTATTGACACCTGGTTTCGTTCTCAAGAGTTCACATGATGTATTCATCAGGTGTGGGAAATCCAAAAAATTAACATTAAGAGCGAGCGGACACCACGTACCCCTCGGCATCTTTCAACGCTATAAAACAAATAAACACTCGTCGCAAATTGAGCGTTCAAATCGTGTACGTGTACAATAGAACCCAGTCTTCCCTTCCCTAGACTATAGAATCAGATTACATGGAAATAGGTGTGCAGAAGAAGCTTGCCCAAAAGACCGGCAGACGGGCAGGTGCATGTATGATGAGATGGAAATGCTGACGCAAGGAAATGGAGCTAGTCGTTCTCGTACAAGGCAAGGAAAAATAATCAAGACAATTTACAGCCAAATGAAAATGGTAATTGGTAAGTGTGTGTGTGTGTGGGAGGTTGAAGGTGGTAGTAGTTGTGGTAATAGGACATGTCGGATCGCAGGGAGAGCCAGGTAAGGAGCTTTGGTAGTATCTTGTGAGTTGATAGTGGGGCTTAGTTGTCTCCACTGTCGACTTCAGCTGGCTGTGGCTCAGCCTCTTCTCTCAACACAGGTTGCGGCACTACCCCCAGGCTCTTTCGCTTGTTTTTCCTCTCCGTCTCAGCGTCTTTCTTGACACCGTTGGTTTCTGAAGTAGCCGTGGTAGGGCTGGTGTTAGCAGCCTTTTTGTTTGGGGCGACGCTTGTAAAACTGCCGGAGAGCTTTGAAGTGGTATCGTTGTTCTCCGACTTGTCGGCAAAGTCTTTCCACTTGCGCCAACCGTCAAAGTCAATCAAAGCCTGCATGCAGCCCCATTCCTTGACTTTTCGTTCAAGCCAGACAAAGTTTACAGGCTAAAAGGAGATGTTAGCAAGACTCCATGTCAAGAAGAGGCGAATGCAACTTACCTTTGTCAGAAAATCATTGCAGCCAGCAGCCAAAGCTTCGTGCCTGTCACTTTGCAGGGAACTGGCCGTGAGTGCGACAATAATGACTGGACTCTTGAACATTCCCTTGTCGCCCAGCTTGTCGTCCTCTCTTAGCTCGTCTTGGCTTTTGCTATCGCTCCCCAGCCGAGTGTTGGGTGCTTCGCTGCTGCCACTGCTGAAGACACCAATACCGTTGACACGCTCCAGCCGCCTGATCTCTTTTGTTGCTTCGAGACCGTTCATGACGGGCAATTGGATGTCCATGAGCACCAAGTGAAATCCACCGGCTTTCCATTTAGTGACTGCCTCTTTTCCGTTCATTGCGCGTTGCCAACGAACCTTTAACCGTTGCATGAAAGCACCCAAGACACGCAAGTTGATGATGTTGTCTTCGACAATCAAGACGTTGATAGGGGGCACTGATCCGTCCAACAGGCCAGCAGGCAGGGCTGGTGGTTCTACCGGGGCCTTTCTCCGCTTCTTCTTGGTGTTGAGCTGCGGCGAGGAGATGCGTGGGGTGGGTGGAGTTGATGTCTGAAGCGTTTGCTGGTGAGGTGTTGGGTCTGCGGGGATAGGGGGTGTGGGTATTGGGTTGTTCGAGGCGGCCGAGTTCTTTGCTTCGGACGCTGACGAGTCGTGGCGCGGGCGGTTTGCGGGACGGACAGAGGTGGCAGAGGAGGGAATGCCGCCGCCCAGGGTGGTGGGAGAGGCGGTATGCGTTCTGTTGTACTTGGGACGATGTGGATGCATGGGCCCGCGCCGTGTGCTGCCGGGAGATGGCAGGTTGGGTAGCTGTCCGGTGTTGAGGACGGATATGGAGTGGAGTTGGGGCACGGGGATACGGTTGTCGTGAGGGTGCTGTAGGCTGGTGCTCATAGTGGCTGGCGAGGGGGTCATGGCCGACATGGGGGGGAAGTACTCGGTCTGGGGGTGGATGCCGTCTTCATGGTGGTAGTAGGGAGGCACGCGGGGCGATGGCTTGGGGGTGCGTCGCGAGGGCACGTCGATGATGAGGGCCTCGTGGACCGTCTGGCCGCCGGGGAAGTAGGCGTCGATGGTGCGGCACATGTCCTCCTCGGGCCCGAGGGTGCGTTCGCCTGCGCGCTGGCTATCGCGGGGCACAATGCGCAGGGTGACGTCTGGCGCGTCGAAGCTCCTGCCCAGCGAGTTTGCATACTTTTTGAGGATCATATCGCGGACATCGTCGACCAGGTCGTCCTCTCTGATCTGGACGAGCGTGGCCGAGGCATTAGGCCGCTTGACCCAGATCTTGCGGTGCAGCATGGCGGCGGAGCGGGCGGTCGAGGGGGGCGGGCCTGAGGGCGTGGCGGCCTGGGAGTCGTCGGGGCCGGGCAGGTTGGTGGCTAGACGGGCATCGGCGGCGTGGGCGGTGGTGATGGCAGCGTGGCGGTGGACTCGGGCGGGCGATGGGGGCAGCGAGGTGGTTGTGGCCGTCGTCGTGGCCGTCGTCGTCGTGGTTGCGGGGACAGACGAGGGCGTTGAAGAAAGCGAGTCGGGCAGGGCAGGGCGGTCGAGCTCGGCAGGCGGCGCTCCGGGATGGACGGGCGTAGGAGCGTCGAGCGTGACCTGGGGGCAGACAATGGGCACGTCGGCGGAGGGCTTGCGGGCGTCGTGGGAGCTGCTGGGCGCAGTGCTGGCCTGCGTGCAGCTCGACCGCCCGTCTCTCGACGTGTTGAGGCTGCCGGTGCTTGCTTCTGCGTCGGCCTGACTCTCGGTCGCCGCTCTGCCCACCACCAGCAACTGCTCGTCGTCGTCGTCGTCGCCATGCGCCCCCAACCCCAACGCCTTGCCAGACGCCGCCGGCTCCGCCAGCCTGGGCAGCGACACGCTCTTGCGCAGCGGGCTGCTCAGCGGCGGCGGCGGCGCGTGGCCATGGCGGTCGCTGCCCGCCGACGATGCTATCGAGCGTGCTCTCGTCGACGCCTCGCTGTTGCGGCGCGAGAACTTGGACCGCGCCTTTTGCAGCCGTGTCTTGATGTTGCTCATGCCGGCAACGAGCCCGAGCCGGCCAGCATGCAGTCGTGGGAAGCGCTCGGCGGCCGTGGTGCGCGGCGGCGATGGCCAACTGAGCAGAGTGGATTGCGAGCGAGGGCAGAAATCACCCCGTCGTCCTGTCCGCGGCTCTGGCTCGATGGCGCGCCACAGAGCCAAGGGGTGATGGGGCCGGGGCTGGCGGGGAGCGTGTGCGTGCACAGCGGAACAGTGTGTGGATGTGGACGTGTGGATGCAAAGGCAACGACAAGACCAAAAGGAGCGGACGGGCACAAGCCAGACGGTTATCAGACGGCGCCAAAACAAAGTGCGTTGTGTTGTGCTTCTGCGAGCCCAGTCGGCCTGTTGTATGGCATGTCCAACCTCCAGCGCTTGGGCCGGGCGGAGGATAGAAGAGCATGGGCGAGGGCGAGAGCATCCTCATCCATCGCCAACACGCGCCCTTATGCCAGTGTCCCCTCCGCCCATTCCGCCGCCTGCATATGCGCAGTGCGTCATTTGCATGTGGCCGCCCGAGTCCAGCGCCAGGCCTGCAACATACGCCGGTTTCATTCACACTGCCCTATTCCATGGTCCGTCTCACTTGATGGCAGTGACATGATGGCCCAACGTCACAATCACAGGCCATCCTGGTGGAACCCCATGGCCAGCTCATCCACGCCCAATCTTACCTCTGTCTTTGCCATGCCCATTCGCTCCCCACACACGGCGCCTAGTGTCTGCTTAGCCAGCATGCCCATCGTCGATTCTCCCTACAAATGGCCACCCTCAACCCGTCCGCTAGCTTCAAGTAGTATCACGGCCAAAACTTGGAATCTTGCTCAAGCCCGGTCCGCATGCGCCACAGTGGCTGGAACCAATCCACACCCGCCAATTGGTTGACATGTGCAATCCATGCCGATTGCTCTTGCCCCAACTAACACCAGGCCACATGCTCACATCAAGTCTGTAGTCTCCGCCATCTCTTCCCAATCCAGCCCTCTCCGCTCCCTGTTCTGCTGGCCGACCGACATGCACTTCTCCAAGCATTCTGTTTGGTGCTTGCAAACATGTCGAGCTCTGATTTGCTCGGCTACATCATCGTATCGTTGCTATTCATCAGAGGATGCCTTGCCTAGTGACTCTGCGAAAACAAACAACACAGAGTCCAAGGATACTATGTAGCAATCGCAAAGGTACACATGTAGTCAGCAATAGCGCCACCAGGCTGGTTGGAGAATGGATGCCCAGCCGCTTAGCCTCCGAGACAAGCACTAGTGGCTGCAGAGACGCCTTGCCAACAACCTCACTCCTCTCGCAATACGGCACATTTCTCAACTACCAAACACGTGTGTCGAGTGACTGCAGCTCCCAATTTTGCTACTAACCATACACTTTGGTACCTTGCAATTGCCAGCTCAATAACATGGCCAACGAAGCAGCCGGCGTCTTCCAATCCTCAGCTTTCAAGTCTAATGTTCCTCCATCCTTACGGTCGGGCCCCCTTATGATTAAGGTTCGGCCCGAACACACTAGCCAGTTTCACAAGGACCAGCAGCTGAGGCTGAGCCTAGTTTCAATTCAGATTGGGTTGTTGACTCAGACGGTGTGATCACTATCGCCAATTCACTCAGGGGAAACCACATTCGACATGTCGGCGTTGGATTGTACAAGGGCGTGTCTCTCAGCCTTGTCTTACACTGCATCCTGTACGAATTCGACAGCTTATTGTGCTTCATCTGTGACAGTGTTCTCTGCTCCGATATGGTTCGCACTGCAAGCGAGTAATTTCAGATTAATAAACTCAACATAATCCTAACATATTCCACCACTTGTGATGAAACATCACATCTCCATGGGCGACCATTCAGACGAGAGAGTTAGAGTGTTAATTGATTGCATCACATCACTCGTGCTTTCTATCTAGCAAGCGTCCGTCTATTGATTCATAGAGAACAACACTACAATGTCCCACCTTGGGTCTCGAGACTTCGCTACCATAGCATGTACCAAGGGAATAAAACAGAGCACACGCATACGCCTTGAATGACTTCTCACAACGCGTACCAGCACCGCATTGCCGCATCTTTACCCTCACGACGCCATCGTACCATTGGTGTTTGCCTGCTCTTGTTGCCAATGCATGGAAAATTTCTTATGAATGGACAAGTTACCAATCACATCTTCAACGTTGAGTACCACTCTGACATTCTTCAGTCGAGTTTCTTGTGGCGAGCCGTCGCTGGACGAACAATGAAGCTGAATCGATTTGAAGCGCAGGGCTAAAAACCATCTTTTTCCAACAACTGCACCCTTCCAGCAACTACAGCAATCAACCACCATCGCCCACTGGCGACGCATCTGCGAGGCAATTGCACCCAATAAAGAGCCCGGGTGGAAACGTTTTCATACATTTGACGACTAGTATATTTCCCAAAGATTCTCTTTAATTTTTCGTTCTTTTCTCTCTCTCTCTCTTTCTTCACCCTGTAAACCGTCTCATATGTTCACACTTTACACGGCCCGTCAATTCGTGTCACTAGTAAGCAACTCCAATCGCATTAATGCTTACTGAAGAATCATCATAGGTCTGACACCATGACCATTTTCTTGGAGTTTTTTTCCACAACAACACAATTTGCTTTTCACCAACAGCAACTCGAGCCTACGACTGGTTCCCCCGCCGCCAGAGCCGGATGAAATAGGAAGCAGTATTTATTGCAGTGCAGCATCAAGGTGAACAGACTGCAAATTTGTTTTGGAATATCTTGTTTGAGTGGAGAAACTATCTTCTTTACCTAATACAATACCATACTTCAGACTTGAGTTCTGTTCAACTAGCCCGATTGCGGGTCGCCCCTTAATCTTGTTGCTGAGTCCTATCCTCGGGAGTAAAGGAAAGAGGAAGGACCTACACATTTGCCCCACTTATCCTGAAGTCGAATGAGTAGTCCCTGCAGAGGGACCTCTCCACTGATGAATACTGAGCCTGTCAATCTAGTAATCTTACTAGGCAGAGTGTCTTGAAATCGCAGCGCATGAGCGATCTCTGGACATTGCTGGAGCATGTAGATTTCATGGAGCTTACAGACAGATTGAGAAGCCCGGAGTTTCTTTGCTTGTCGTTGTGCCTCCTCGTCCATGTCTTCGAAATTATCAGGGAGTGGTACGGGCTTCAAGCCTTCTGGTATTGGCCCTTCAGATTCGATGAGTGAAGGATAGCGTACTTGAAGGAGGAGTATGTATGTATTTAGTAGTTAACAATCAACACATGACAAAAAACATCACGCTCTGCCACGCGTCGACCAAAATCCTGATATTCTGTCGCCACAAACAAAATTGCGGTACTGCACACGATTTACGGAACGATTATAATTATATGTCCTCTCTTACTAACCAGCCCTAAAACTAACATGCATTACAGAGTTTTTCTGGCACTGAGCCATCCCTAGCTTATCCAAAGTGAATGAACAAATCACGTGCACCCATTTCTCGCATGAAGCCTCCATCACAAGTGTGGTGAAACATGCAAGCGACTTTCATCACCCATATACCATGTAGTAGAACTTGGCTGAGTGGTTTTCAACTTAGACAGTGATTTTCAGACAGTGCTTGCCCAAGGACGGAGCACTGTACCAACACCAGCAAGACTGAATCATTCACAGAACCACGTGATTCCATCCACCGCCAACCCAAGACACTGTGCGTCAACCCCACTCCTTACACGCCCAAAACAAATGTAATTGTAT